AATTGGTTAACCGCTAGTACAAACACAGAACATAAGAGAAAAAAAAAGAACCGACCGATGTATATGTGCCTTGTTCTCTTTGTTTTTTGTGACCTCCCGCATTTTCAGTGTGATAGCCCATATTCCCGTCGTACTCGTTCAGTACTTTTTAGTAGACGTGGCGTCCAATGTACACGTAGTGATATGTTGATTATCACGATTTGTCTTCTTTAGTTTCTTTTTTCTCTGATTTACACCAAAGAAAAAGCATCGAAGGGAAGAATATCTGTGTCTAGTAATATATCAGCACTATTTTTCTGCTTATCCAATCAACAAATAGACTGTAGACGTGGCATAATAAATTTCTCTACCAAATAATTCCATTAGAATCATAGATATGACGTGTATTTTTCCCAAGGGCACTCTATGTAAATATAGATAACAATAATTCTTCATCATATGTGAATACTCAAAATCAGCGATATATCATAATAGTTTTTTTTATTTATCTTAATAAATTTTTCAATCGAATAAATAAATGTAGTTTTATATGTTATTGTTTATTGTAATATAATATACACGATAATTGTTAATGTCCTCCATAGTAAATATGAAAAACTAGATTTATCTTATATATTCTATTTGATCGAACTTGGTGTTTTAATGACATTGATATTGCTCAATATAATTGAAGTATAAAGGATGAGTCAAAAGTCTTGGTACTTCATCGAAAAATTCCATTTTCTCTCTGATGACAACTAGTCAATCGGTACTAGACGAATATCACGTTTAATTTTCACAACTATAAGCTAGGGTTATTGTGAAGATTGTTTTTACAGATGGATCCTAAATATTCAAAGCGAATGATAATCATAAAAAAATAAGTTCGTTGCACATCAGCATTTTCTCAATAGTAGAATTTTTCACGCTGTATCTTTTGATATATTTTGTTTGTTAAAGAAACATATTAAAAATTGAAGAAAAAGATAAAAAAAAACAGTCGTTCTCCATAGATATCATTGTCTCTTGGTTCGAAGTTGTATATCTTCGCTGTAATTTCAGCTACAGTTCTGAAAATTTAGAGTGATGCTCACTCTTTATGATATTGGCATATTGCACTGATCTTGAGATGTGTTTTAAATTAAAATTCTTCATTTGTCAACCTCTGTATCTTAGGCTCAAATAATTACTCATCATTTACATAATAGATTTCTTGTTACTGCCTTTTTGATGAAATTTCCAAGTTTCATACGATGTGTAGGTGTGCTATCAAAAGCTTTATTTCGTCATAAAAGGTAGATATGCCTGTGCTGGTCATATTTTTCTTTTATGCTTTATCAGTATAAACATATCATAAAAGCATATATTTCAATTACGATATCAATGGCGACCCTATATACGTGATGAATTTCGAAAGTATATAACACAAGACATTAGTAGAGAAATTCAAAAGAACCGAGTATCTTACTGAAGAAATTCTTGAATAGTGATTTATGCCTTTGTCAACGCAAACGACTGCAATGGATAGAAGGTTGATTTCGCCGAAAATCAATTGAAAGAATGCAAAAAAGATGATGATTTCGCAGTATTTACTTTAATATGTATTACTTTAGCTGAGAACGATCATCAGCATTTTACACTCGCACTTACCATACAGTTCGAAAATTTCATACTTTAAGTCACTCACTCTATTACAGCTTAGTAAAGATAATGATCTCGCGGAAGAAAAATAAAAGATTCGCATAAGTCATATATCGTTCTTGCACACAAAAGATTTTATTCGTAATCGACGAATGGCACATTTTACTTAATTGTATCAAGTGGGTTTTTTTCAACCAACACTGAATGATTCAAATTAGTCGATACTCAGGTGAAACGATGATACTATTCGAAGATACGTTTGCAAAATCCTATGTAGTGGAATACTTTCTGTCATTGCATTATCAATTTGGTCACTTAAAAATTACAAAAAATCTCTTTTTAATTATCTCATCGAAATTGACCTCAACTCACTCTATGTTAAACGTATATGATCAATGAATAAATGCATGCCTATCATTATAAATATTGTAAACTTTTTCATATGCATCTCTTCGTTTTTAGTTGTTAGATAAGATCATATAGATTAGAAAAAGAAATTCGTGTTTAGAAGAAATTTTGCTTTCTAAAGTGTGCGCAAATATTGTTTTCTAGATAACGATTTGCAGCCTTTTCTTCTTACATAATATCTTTAGAAATGAGTAATGTTATTGTGTGCTGTCTTTTCTATTCGGTATTAATTATAATAACTACATCATCAACAACTTCCACTACTAAAGCTCCTTTATATACAATCGAAGGACAAATCGTCTTGCCGCCTGATGAAAATAATCTTGGCAATATACGTATACTGGTTGATGAAGGGCTATATATCGGTGTACCACACGTCGATGGGACTTTTACCATATCGGGTAAGTTGTCTTACTAAACAAAAAGATACATTGCTCTTCATATTTCCTAGGGGTGCCAAGTGGCTCATACATTGTTTCAGTTAATTCACCATTTCATATTTTCGAACCAGTACGTATCGATATAAATAAGAAGGGAAAAATTCGTGCACGCGCAGTCAATTTTATTGAACCAGGCAAAGTTACTACAAAGAAATATCCACTGCGTTTCGAAGTACACAGCAAACCAAATTATTTTCAAAAACGCGAAGTCTATCGTGTGACTGATCTATTTTCGAATCCACTTGTTCTTCAAGCAACTTTACTAGTGGTTTCACTTCTGCTCCTACCAAAATTAATGCCGCAAGGAGAAGATTTACAAGGTGCTTTACAACAAACCAATGGCCTTTTTCAACCAAACCCAAATATGCCTGATATTACCGATTGGTTCATTCGATTGTTTGGTGCTCCCACTAGACAGCGGCCAGCACGTAATTAGCCCGTTGTTCATAATACTGCAAGTTCTGCCGGCATAAAAAAGGCAAAAAAATCCAAACGAGAAACAAATCAATAACATTGAATTTCTATATGTGTGTTGTCTTTTTCTTTTATATTTTTGTATTAAATTAAACCTGAAAATAGGGATGAGTGTGGATGTGGTTGTAATTTCAATAAAATACTGTCATATATACTCCATTCACTTACTCAATATCACCATCTTGAGGGGTGGTGCGGGTGTAGGGTATGGGTGTGGATGTGAGTGTAGGTGAGCGTGCTGGTATCAGAAAAATAAAGTAGTGACACCCACACCCACCCAATATTCTTACATGTTCCGTTTTTAAGATATTTAGGGATCTGTTTATTTTTAACATGAATACAAATATCAGTTTTACTTTTTTTTATTTGCATAAAAACTGCGATCATTCAATTCATCAGTTTTACTTTTCAAAACAACATTCAGATAATAAATTCTTATACAATTATTTATTTTTATGCAATAGATGAAAAGTAGTTTTATTCAAAGATATATTTGAATAAAATCATGCTTTGAATTACATACATCACGTTTCAATTGCATTAATAGTACGGATATATTTCCTTCATATACATCTTGACACAGACAGTCACATTAAGATTTCATTAACATCAATAGATAGTCTCTAACTTCTAATAACCAAAATGATTCGATAGATTCTATGTTTTTGATATGTTTCAATAAGTAAATATTAATCAATCGTTATAGAGAAAGAAGATTATTTGGTGTAATCTAGAGAACCATGGGAATAGTTTGTAAAAATATATTGTTTACATGTTCTGTTAAGAGAAATACTATCTAAACTAATATATTTCATTCATAATTTGTTCTTATCAATCGAATTCTTAGAATAATTTCATGGAAACACAAGAATAAGTTTTTTCATTAAATAATTTGAGAAGACATTATAAGTAGTATTTCTTATTGATTATATAAATGCAAGTGTATTAATTATCTTCTAGAAACAAAAATGAGATGAAACAATGATGTAAAAGTAGAGAATCAGAAAATTAAACAAAAATCTTTATAAAATAGATATTATAAATATCAATGACTTAAAAAAACCTTGCCTGCATTTCTATATTTCAATAATTCAAACAATTAGTCTACATTTTACGTGTATATTTAAGATATGTTTTCCGATCGATACTACTAGCTAAATCTGAACATTTGAACTTCGTATCGATGTCGGAGACAGTTATTATCAATTGTCTTGCAAGGAAAAAAACAGATATTTGATCAAGAACTAGGATCAGTACGTAATGTTTACTTTCAATAACAGTTTTATTGTACGTAAAAAGTACAAAATGCTATATGAATGATGTTGTTCATTATCTTTTTTCACACAGAGTATAAATTCTCGATTTTAGATGAACTTATGTGTTGAATTAGTGTCATTTGTATTTTTCAAGTACATAAATTTGACTTCATTGTATTACAATCGTGAATGCTGAGAATTTCGTGAAAATCTTAAAATCGTTATTTCGAAATCGAGCTTTGCATTGCATTTCGAAGACGAGTCTCAACTCACATGCCGTTTAGTTTAAATATATACCTTCATTAATGATGTTTGTAATTGATGCTGATTCTCAATCAAGTACTTTTATTGTAATGAAGTAATATTATATCTTCATACACACGATATCGCTGATATCGGACGAACCTGTATTGAGGCATTTTTCAGTTATTCTATATCACGACACTTATCTGTGAGTATTGCGCAAGATAGTTGTTTTTTTTCGTTCTTTCGAATATTATTGCATAACTTCAAATGAATTTCAATAGAAGTAGAACTTATAAATATAACTTAGATGCGGTCCGAAGGCTGATGGGTTATCAAAACTATTGAACCCCTCTCATTAGTCGCTCCCATTAGTCACTCCCTTGACCGCTTTTTGCCTTTCAAGATTGACAATAGTTTAAATTATTCATAAATATTTCTTTTTCAAATGTATAAGTGTCGAAATGTCTTGAATTTTATAAACATGGTGTCACTGATTATTAGAAGAAAAATATTCAATATATAAAAAACTAAAGTTAATATATCATGCGAAATTCTTCTAGTTAGTTCCGTTCATAGAAACCAAGTCAATCTTTCTTGTGCCAATGTTAATTTTTTATAAATTCCATCTAATTTTAATAATTCATCGTGTGTACCCTATAATTATATAAAAAAATGCACAAAAAGATCTACTTCTTCTTTCATTTTGCCATGAGCAATAATAGCGATTTTTCGTGAATTTTGAATTGTTGATAAATGATGAGCAATTGTCAAACATATTTTATTGGATACTGCTTGATCTAAAGCAAGTTGTACAACTATGAAATCAATATTAGTCCATTGTTATTTTTGTAAGTAAACTAATATTTGGAAGAATTGTAAAATAATGTTTCTGTATGTATCTTATTTTGAAATTCTCGACTTTTGTTTCTTCTAAATAACCATTTTAATCGATTTCATCAACATCCAAAGTGAAAATATTGATCAACAATTTTATTTTGTCAAATAGATTTAATCAACACATTAATTATTAAATCGAAATAGAAACTATGATTTCTTCTATTTTCTAAGATTGTAATTATGAAGAACAAATACATGTATTTTGATTAAGATGTTTTAAATGGTATTGTTTCTAGTCTCCATTATAACAGACTCATGATATACTATTTATCTAAACAATATCAGTTGTTTGAAAGTTACAATTCATCAACAAATAACATTAATTTCAATGAATATCAATCTTCATTAAATGATGACGAACAATATTTTAACAATGAGTCATTTGATAATTAAAATGATTTTCTAATAACAACACAAATGAATAAACATTGTTAAATAAATAAAAACAAGGATAAATATCGTCTTTTTCTTAACATATTCTTATCTTCTTTTCCATAACGAAAGTTTTTTCAAAGTTTTAATTCTAATAATTAATAAATGATATATGACAGGCGAATAAATAGTTGGTCAATTTAATGTATCAAATATTCTACTTGTCATTCACTCTATTGAAAGAAAAACAAAATTCTTTTAATGCTTAGTTGATGATTCAAGTGGATAACAAACGAAAATATTTTTCGTTCTTTTTCTTTTTTTTACGGACGAATAGAATAAAATTTTTCTTTCGATTATAAAATCATTCGTCATGTGTTTCTTCACTTTGAATCGTTTTATTTGCATTGGACAGACAGTTATTTTCTATCAAATGCGTAGGTGAAATATATTCAAAAATCAAAAAGAAAAGAAATCATGAAGAAATTAATCGACGGAAGAAATAAACAGTCTGATATACACAAAAAGAAGTAAAATTCACACTACTCAATTTTTATTTATTTCTTTGATTTTGATTATTTAACTGGGCAGTAATTTATTAGAATGATTCTAAAAGCAAAAGAAAATATTTTAAATATTATACATAGAGTGGAAATATAATCAGAATATTAGAAACATTTCAAACAAATATAGAGTCAGTCGATCTCAATTACTAAATAGTTATCAGTTAAAAATCTAATTAGTTGACTATTTTGTATCTACTTTACACTTCTGTAAGAGGGTGAGGTGAGTGCAGGTGTGAGTGTGAGATGATGAAATAAAGAAGAGACACTCACACCAATAGTAATGCTCACACGCAAACCCTTATCCACATCGACACCCACACACATACAAACATCGCATCTATCTGATTAGTCTTTGCCCCTGCCTGAGTGGATGTGTTGATCTCTACAAATAAATTTCGTGCAATGAGTCATGGTTAGTTTATTTTTATTTTCTATAACATATCAATTCCCATCATCTCAAAGGATAGTTCACAAAATGAGCATAAAAAAATGAGGGTTTGGGTGTTGATGTGAATGTTCGTATCAATACAGTATACTCATAACCACACCCACACCCTGATCATTTGTAGACGTTACTCAGTATTTCGTTTTGTATGTAAAACATATTCTCGAATATTTTTATGATAATTCAATGTTTTCAATATCTTCTGTAGCATGTCCCGTATTTTTACTTTTTTTCGTCCAACACACTTGTTTTTATCAAAACAAAACTCTCTCACACAACTTTAATTATGCTGCATTTTCAGTTTTCGTTTGCTTGTGATAAATTCATTTATCTATTGATAAGGACGGAGAAAAGAGACAAACAAAAGCTACTTCTTATAAACACAGACGAATATAAAGAACAAAGATAAACAAAGTGCATATAAAGAATTTATTTTCATCTAACTCAGTCATTTTTATTGTTTTAACCATCTTTTTCGAAACATCTTATTGCACTTCGTTTCGTTTTCTAAGGTAAATTAATGTTATTCAATCAGGATTTTATCTTTACATCAAATAACGTCATTATTTATATTACAGAAGGAGATACTTTATTAATTACTCTAAAAAATACTATTCACGTATTCACATGAACAGGACAGTAAATAAACTAATATCGGTAAAGGTTGTATATAGTTGAGTTAAGAAAGAATAGCCATTATTATGATGTAGGGAGAAGAGAAGATGATCCACATGCTCATAACAGCTAAAAATCTGCTGTAGTTATAGAAAAGAAACCTCTGTATTGCGATAAAGTATAGAAAAGATTGTCATCATCGTGGTGACATTAGAAAAATCTTTCGAAAGGCAGTACATCACTTCACTCGAGGTGCATTGTTACTGTTATTACTATAGGCATGCAGGATCAGTTTTATTGTCGGTTGAATGGATCAGAATTGAGATCAATATCGGAGCTGCGATAAAAGAAGTTGTCTGGTCCAGAACTAAACATTATAATTCAATATTCTAGAGTCTTGAGTAGATTATTCTATAAATAGTACCAAGTGAAACAAAATTCAAGCGATATAAATAAAACAAGTGGTATTCATCGACTAAATAAATCAAAGTTAGAATCAAGATGAGGACCGGAAGTCTTGGAAAAGAAGTTATCGAGACTGGATCAAAATCGAAACTCAGAAAACTGACTGTCACAAATCTCTAATTGTTATTTATCAGTCATATTCATTCGATCTTAAAATGATACATTTGTCAGTGCTAGATTTCTCTACAAACTAGCCATGCATAGAACTGAAACTCTGGTTCAGTATTCGGATTCCAACGATTTCCGACGAAGCGTGAATTCGAAAGTTTTTCAATCAGTTTAGATAGTGTCGGATATGTGAGTAATTGTTGAGATATTTCTTGAAATATAGAAGCGACCATAGGAATATTTTAAAGTCTCGATTAAGTTTGCATATGGATATTTTGAAGTATCGTTGACTTTTTTGTGAAACACCCTCGAAAAGGAGTATTAAAATATAGTGATAGAAATTTGGTTTCTCTCACACAGTTTGCTACAGATTTAAGCATGAAAGCTGCGATAAACTGAAGATGTAGCAATACTACCTTTCTCGGTAACAATGTTTAATGAGCTACTTCATCTCCTCTAGTAGTATCGATATTACATAAAACACACCATTATAAAGAAGAGCACGAAGGAGATATAAAGGAAAAAGTACTAAAAGAACAATAGAGTAGAAGAAGAAGAGAGCAAACAAGTGCGCAGTATGCATGTTTTTTACCTTTTCATAAGCCACAACCAAGGTAACTTCTTTGATGCTTCTTTTATGAAGTATAAGTGGATTATGTAAAGGTATCTTTATATTCAATTTGAATGTCCTTCAAACATTGACATAGAAACGTCACAAACTATGATACATATCATAGCAATGTCTCTTCTTCCTTACGAATCCGGAAACATAAGCGAGAAACTGAAGTAATGTGGTATAGGAAAGAAAGAATATTCTCAGTTTTTATTTTTCAGAAAAAAATAAAGTTGTAACTCAAAAAATTCGCCTGTTTTGTGTGTTTGAATTTAACTGAGGGGACTGACGTATTGATTTCATTCGCTTAGTTACCACAGCAAAATCCTCTGCTTCTTCCGTTCGATGAATGAATTGCGATTAAAGTCAATGACGCGTTCGCACACTAGTCCGTCATTTTAAATCAGGAAAAAGTTTGCTGCGAAAAGAAGAAGGTGACGATTGTACATATGAAATCCGTATTTCGAAATGGGACTTTTTCTGGGAGCTATAATAATGCGAAAAAGATGATAATTAACAGCTGAGAATTTCCTTATATAATCATAAATAACTCAATCTTCGAATGTCCGTTGATATCTTACACACGTTGTGCATATACACTTTAATTATCGCCTTGCGCAACTTAAATTCATCGACGAAAGAGTCTCGAAACTTTCGAAAAAGTCGATGAGAGGCCAAGAACGATAACGAACAGCTGAGTGATTCCTTACACAGCAATACATTTAGATTCATTAACTCTCACTTTTTTGCTCATCAAAAATAATTACACCCGATTTAAGTTCACTTTAATTTTCCCTTCGCGAGCTTTACATTGAAAACTAGTAGATATGTCATATGAGATGGTATTCTAACACTTTTGAGGTTTGTGCAGTCAGCCAACTTCTCTACCCGATCTTACGCTGGATAGAATTCTAGTTCTTCTCTTAACTTCACCTTCACTCTTATTCTTCTTAATATTGCATGATTAATTCACTGAAAGTAACAGTCGTGTTACTCACAAAAATATTTCGTTTTAGCTTGATAAGCTATTTAAAGAACGTTTAACTATGAACTTTTTGTTATTCGTATACGTATCAAAAGTTCTTTTAAACGTATCTATTCTATTATAATGTGTCATTTTTAAGTTCTAAACAAATATAGTAATCTATAAAATGCATAAATAGCAGTTTTCACAGTCTCTGTAGATTCAAACAGATATCTCAACAAAAACTACGTCTACCCTTAGTGATTTTGTTTCTAAAGACTTTGTAAATGTATTAAAATTTCTATATAGATTATGGCTTCCAGATTTTCATCACCAAATAAAACAAATCATAAAAAACGAGCTCTTCTCATTGGCAATAATAAATACAGCAAAAATATTGAACTTCGGTATTGTACTAATGATGCTGAAGATCTTGCTAAAAACTTACGTAGAATTGGCTTTGAAATCACAGTTGGTACTGATTTGACATATGAACAGATGGATAGAACGATCGAAACGTTTAAAGAAAAGATAAATCCAGATGATCTTGTTCTTTTCTTTTATGCGGGTCATGGATGTCAATGGGGTCATCTAAATTTTCTCATCCCTATCGATGATGATCGAATCACAACAAATACTGATCTTAAATATCGAGCAATCAATGTACAAGCTATGCTTGAAAACGTCATGGGTCGTCGTCCATCAGCAGCTATATTTCTTCTCGATTGTTGTCGAAATATTGGTGTGCGAGGACCATCGAATTCTAATGGCCTTTCAGCCATGCAAGCAGTTGCTGGTTCATTTATTGGTTTTGCATGTGATGCAGATAAAACTGCTTTGGATGGATCAGCAACTGGCCGAAATGGCTTATTTACATCTCATCTGCTTCAACATATTGATCGACGGAATTTAACTATTGATGAGATAATGTGTGATGTTTGTGATGGTGTAATGAGAGAAACAGATGATGGTCAATGTCCATTTCGAGTATCTTCGCTTCGACGAAAAGTTTATTTAAATCAACAATTTATACCTGGTGAGTCTAGAATAATTTTGAATCTCCATAAATATGAAAAACACTGAGTGTCCGGAAAGTCATTTAACAAAAGGTTTTTAATATAGCTTTACTGCTCTATTTGGCCTTATCAGATTTTTTTAAATTAAATAATGGGTGATTACATTGAATTTTTTGCTGTACGAACAAATTCCAAATGTCTTGTTGAAACGTATCACTTTTCATCAATATACAAAAAAATAAGCTTTTTTCTGCAGTGTCTAAAAGTCATTGACCAAATCGAACAGTTTCTTTTTATTCGGAAAAGAAATGTTCCCAGTGTTTTCCTCATAAATCAACAGCTTATTGATATACCTTAAATCTACCACCATCTTCTTAAACTTCAAGTTTTACCTCTTTTTCCGAGTGCTTGCATCAGTACAATCTACAACAAAAACATAAAAGTGTCGAAAAACATTTGATCTGCTACATTTTGTAGAGCTTTTCTCGTGAGCAGTATAGTTGCAAAAATTTTTTCATTTTCATCAACAAATGACAGCGCCATGATCAAAATAGTGGAAAGTTCCAAATTACAATGAGGCACCAAGGACTTCGCATTTTCTAGTATTTTGATCCGAATATCCACATTTCTTGATGGAAATAGAGAACTTTTTAAACTAAACTGACCAGCAAAAACAGCTCTACAGAATGTAGCAGGTCCAACATTTTCCGATACTTCTTTGTTTCTGTGGTTGACTATACTAAACGGGAGTACCCGAAAAAAATAGTCAGAATTTTGAATTTAAGTAGATAGTGCTAGATTTCTGATGTGTCAATGAACTGTTGATTTATGAAGAAAAATCTTAAAACATTTCTCTTTCGAATACAAACAAATTGCCCAGTTTGGTAAAAAATGGCTCACGAGAGAACCACCTGAGGTGTCAAAAAGCTTTTGAGCTGAAATTTTGCCTTCAAGTAGGGGATGCATAGACTAGAAAAAAGCCTAAAAGGATATGTGCCCAAGTTGGCGTTTGAGTGAGATATCGACTATTTATTGTATGTACCCTATAGGGCCATATCTGTGGGGTAAAATCAAAGTTTCGGATTTAGGCCTAAAAGTTTGTCCACACTAAGACCTTAATCAGATAAGCTTCCTTACAAAGATTCAGAAATTTTAGACAGATTATCTCCGAGCTATGAATTCATCAAAATATTTATGTGAAACCTAATATCCATAAGAAAGCGTCTTTATGCTAGCATACTTGTATCTCGGAGACAGTCTTTCAGAAATTTCTGAGACTTTGTAAGCAAGCTTATCTGATTGAGGTCTTAGTGTGGACAAGGTCTCAGGCCTAATCGGAGACTTTAGATTTTACGGTATAGATAGGGCTCTATAGAGCAAATACAATGAATAGTCGATATCTCAGTCATACGCCAACTTGGTCACACATCCTTTTAGGGTTTTTCTAGTCTATGTATCCTCTACTTGTGAGCAAAATTTTAGCTCAAAAGCTTTTTGACACCTCGAGTGGCTCCCTCGTTAGTATCAAGTTTCGGAGTCTTGAGACCTAGATAAGGCTTTATATTATCTTTCAAATAAGTGATATCGTCATATAAATACTACGATTGTCAACATAACCAAATAAACAAAGTTTTGAAAATCTAAAATTCAATTAAAGGATAATAAATTATAGAGCATACGAACAAGGTTTTCTTTAAACTGATCTAAAAATAAATACATACGTGAGTTGTTGTTTTTTAAAAAGTTTTCGATTGTAAATAGATCAAGTTTACTTCTCTAATTTGACAGGCATCATCGATTTCCATAGATTTGCAATCTTGATAGCTGAGTGTAGTAACAGTCAACCCTTTTTTTCTCAACTTATTACAGAAACTCTAATTCTTTATTTAGAAAAACAAACAATCGTTGCACCAAAGAAACAATCACCATATTCTGATAAGAAGCTTGATAGGGAGTATACATTTACTTATTGATCTTCAAAAAGTATATCAAATTAAAGCCTTTTCTGTCAAGTGATTAGAGTAAATGAATACAATTTTTGTTCTAACTATTCATTATGAATATAGGCTTGATTTATTTGATTGGGACAAAGTCAACTGTTATCTAAAGAATAAGATATGCGAATAGACATCGGGGGACGTTATGATGATTCATTTGCTGTACATTTACAGTGATATTACGGATTTATAAGCTTCCTTGACATGAAACAATATACAGAAACAGAGCTATGCTTAATGTTATTATCTTTCCATGAAATCTTTGACTCACTTGTTAACTGAAATACTTAGTCAACATCGAACAAATTTTTTTGAATGCTATCCTTGCGCCAGATGTTATGACTATTCAATAAATATATAATTCATTCTCAAGTAGTTAACTTAAATTTATTGAATGAATATTGACAAATTAAATGAATAAAATATTGGGGAATGCCGTTATCGTCAGTCATTTGTTATGTGATCTTGAATGGCCGCATCAATCTTGACGGTGCATTGCCAACTTATTGTTAAATATGAATTAAATCATGATGATAGTAATTCATATGATATTCAATCATCGCTCAGTTGCTATGCGGGAGAAACTTGACAACCTTCCTAATAAAATAAGTGAATAGACAGATTGGTAACTAGTCAGTTAACTTTGATGCGATCTTTGATATACCGGTTACTACAATATCTTTTGTTTTTGTGGAAATAGAGAAAACGAACAGGACTGCTATACAATATTCATTCAATTACTATTTGGTCTATAATAGCTAACTATTCATTAAGCTTTGCACCATGATAAATACAATAGATGGATAAGTTTTTCCTTGCAAATGTTCATTTGCAATGTATTCTTCAATTCTACGGTTGATGTATAAGTACTAACCTATGTGAATTAAAATAATTGAATCAGAGAATGACGATAGTACACTTTATTCCTCAATTATGTAGTTTTTTATCAATGTAACTGGATGAACTTCTAATTCGTTGGATTGACAGAGGTGAAAGATATTATCGAAAATCAGTTGTTCATATGTTAGATGATATTCCATTTATGCGCCAGTTCAATCATTTTATACATAAGTAAATAAGAAGACTGGATAAGATTTGGTTCATGGGTGTTCATTTTCTTTACCATCGTGTATCAGCGTACATAGTCTCGCTACTTACTTTTTACCTACTGTGGTAGTCGAGCAAAGATTTTATTAAAGTTATTCTTTTATCCTGTCATAAATAATTAAGTAAAGTATCGGCAAAAGTCATAGGAAATTATACAAATATTGGATGTAAGTATTTCAAAGTGCTTATCCATTTGTTGTACGATCTTTAATCAGACTGATGTCGAGAGTATTTTTTACTGTGAGCATGAAAAGTGATTTGATCATTCGTTTTAACTATTCGTTAGTTATGTGACGTGTGATCGATTTATAGACGACGAACTGTCAATTTGAATGATGATGTAAACAAATAGAATGCTAATAGAAATGATTCATTTGATATGTAATCATTGATCCACCAAAGAATGGAACAATTTTGCTTTGTTGTAAGTCAGATAACTGAGCAAAATTTTGATTATAAGTATTCACTAACTAAACAAACATTCATCGAATGATAGTGCATCCGTATTATTTCCAAGTAAGAGTCAATGATGAATAACATCTTGCAAGATGCACTCTCACACATTCAACCACTTTGCATCGAACTGTAGTTATTCAACTCCTAAACTTTTCTTCTGAGCGAGCCAAGAGGCGAACAGAACAGTTATAAGAAATATTCATTTGTCATCTGATGGTACCTCAGGTGATCAACTCGGTAGCATTTCTTCATAGTGAGTAAAACAGGTGAACAGAACATTGCTTAGCAATATTCATTTGTCATGTGTTGTTCGATGAGATGATTAACTCGCAAGCTTTTCTTCACAGTGAGAAAAAGAGATGAACAGAACAGTTCTGCGAAATATCCATTACTCATATTATACTTGAGGCGGTGATCAACTCGCAAGCTTTTCTTCAAAATGAGCAAGAGAAATGAACAGAACATTGTTTAGAAATATTAATTTATCATGTGATGTTCGATGAGGTGATCAACTCGCAAGCTTTTCTTCGAAGTGAGCAGAAAAGGTGAATAGAATATTGGTTAGAAATATTAATTTGTCATGTGATTTTCGATGAGATGATCAACTTGCAAGCTCTAATTCAAAGTGAGCAAAAGAGGTGAACAAGATATTGGTTAGAAATATTTATTGGTCATATGGTGTTCAATGAGATGATCATCTCGCAAGCTTTTCTTCAAAGTGAGCAAAAGAGATGAACAGAACAGTTATGAGAAATATTCATTTGTCATCTGATGTTCGATTAGGTAATCAACTCGCAAGCTTTTCTTCAAAGCGAGAAAAAGAGGTGAATAGAACAGTTATGAGAAATTTTCGTTTGTCATGTGATGTTCAACGAGGTGATCAACTTACAAGCTTTTCTTCAAAGCGAGCAGGAGAGGTGAACAGGATATTGATTAGAAATATTCATCTGTCTTGTGGTGTTCAATAAGGTGATCAACTCGCAAGCTCTTATTCAAAGTGAGAAGAAGAGGTGAATAGAATATTGGTTAGAAATATTCATTTGTCATATGGTTTTCGATGAGATGATCAACTTGCAAGCTCTTATTCAAAGTGAGCAAAAGAGGTGAACAAGATATTGGTTAGAAATATTTATTGGTTATATGGTGTTCAATGAGATGATCATCTCGCAAGCTTTTCTTCGAAGTGAGCAAAAGAGATGAACAGAACATTCGTTAGAAATAGTCATTTGTCATGTAATGTTCGATGAGATGATCAACTGGGAAGCTTTTCTTCAAAGTGAGCAAAAGAGGTGAACAGAACAGTTATGAGAAATATTCATTACTCATATTATACTTGAGGAGGTGATCAACTCACAAGCTTTTCTTCAAAGTAAGCAGAAGAGGTGAATAGAATATTGGTTAGAAATATTCATTTGTCATGTGGTGTTCATTGAGGTGATCAACTCGCAAGCGCTTATTCAAAGTGCGCAAAAGAGGTGGACGGAACAGTTATGAAAAATATCCATTAGTCATGTAATATTCTATGAGATTACTAATGCACACGTTTTATTCTCTAATAAACGAAAGAAGTACACAGTAAAGTTGGCAAGATAAACTTCGTTTACCGTATAGTGATTGATAAGGTGATCAACTCGCACGCTTTTCTTCAAAGTGAGCAAAAGAAGTGAACACAACAGTTATGAGAAATATTCATTACTCATATTATACTTGAGGAGATAATCCACTCGCAAGCTTTTCTTCACAGTGAGCGAAAGAGGTGAACAGAACATTGGTTAGAAATACTCATTTGTGATGTGATGTTCGATGAGGTGATCAACTCACCATCTCTTCTTCATAGGAAGCAAAACAGATGATCAGAACAGTTATGAGAAATATTCATTTGCCATGTGATGTTCGATGAGATGATCAACTCACTAGTATTTCTTCAAAGTGAGTGAAAGAGGTGAACAGAACATTGGTTAGAAATATTCATTTGTCATGTGATGTTCAATGAAGTGATCAACTCGCAGGCTTTTCTTCAAAATAAGCAAAAGAGATGGACAGAACACTTATGAGAAATATTCATTCGTCATGTATTGTTCAATGAGGTGATCTATTCGCAAGTTTTTCTTCAAAGTGAGTAAAAGAGGTGAACAGAGCAGTTCTGAGAGATATTCATTTGTCATGGGATACTCGATTAGATAATCTATTCGCGAGCTTTTCTTCAAGGTGATTAAAAGAGGTGAGCAGAACATTAGTTAGAAATATTCATATGTCATGTGATGTTCAATGACGTGATCAGCTCGCGAGTATTTCTTCAAAGTGAACAAAAGAGGTAAACAGAACATTGGTCAGAAATACTCATGTATCATTTGATGTTCGATGAGATAATCAACTGGCAACTGTTTCTTGAAAGTAAGCAAAAGAGGTGAACAGAACATTCATTAGAAATATTCATTTGTCATGTGATGCTCCATGGAGTGATCAGCTCACAAGCGTTTCCTCAAAGTGACCAAAAGAGGTGAACAGAACATTCGTTAGAAATATTCATTTGTCATGTGATGTTCGATTAGATAATCTACTCGCAAGGTTTTCTTCAGAGTGAGCAAAAGAGGTGAACTGAACATTACTTAGAAATATTCATTTGCCATGTGATGTTTGAGAATATGATCAACTTTCAAGCTTTACTTTGATGTGTGTAGAATATACGATAAAAAGTTTCGTCGAACACATTCAGTGATTTTGGTGTATAAATTTTTACAGGCAGTTCTACATGGATAGATTTTAATAATATATTATGTGAACAATCTCTTCTCTGTGAATGTGACGACAATCGGTCTTAAAGCGAGAAACATTCATATTTTGACATTTGATTATTTAAGTAATACTAATATGAAGTGTGAAATGATATTAAAAATCTTTTTAAGAGAGCTAATGAAGAAAAGTTTGTTTGTTAACTCCTTTGCTAATTCAAAAAGATGTATTGTTTTCAAAATAAAATGCTTTTACTATTAAGACCATTATAATATGAATATATATATATAGGTTTTGAAAGATGAAATGATTTCAAGTTTGACTTGTTTCTTCTCCTAGTTGAAATGTAAAAAAATCTTTGAAATTTTATCTGTCTAAGTTTCTTTGAATATAATCGGTATTTGATTAGAAAGACTGGAGTCAAGCTGTTCAGCGTGCTAGATATCAAATCATTTCACTTGAAGATGACAGTTTATAAATTCTTTTATTGGTATTTGACCCTAAGGAAGTATTATAGTCTGAGAATTAATGTTGAAATGGATTGAATTTGAGATTTAAAAGATAAAGGGATGCACTATGAAAATCTCATTGAAAGCCCTTATTAATATTCTTACAAAAATTTAGGTTGTATAGAAAATGCTCAAAACGGATAGATATAGAAGAATAATGACAAGACGCCATAGAACAATATTTAAAAAAGAAAATTTTAGACTGATAAGTTTCAGAAAGGTAACAAAATATCTGATCAATTGAAAAGATGAAATGATCAGTAAAATAATATATAAATGATCAGTTCAAAGGATGAATGATCAGTATGTAGACTACCAGTAAATAATATGAAAGTGATCAGTTTTTTGAATAAACTATCAGTAATAGAATCATTTTTTAGCAGTAAAAAGTAAAATCTTGATAGGTAAGAAAAGAAAATTCGATCATAGTAAAAAGGATGAAGTTGCCAGTAGAAAAGCTACTTACTCATGAAGTATTATATAGAACAAAAAAGAAAAAGAATAGAAATAAAGAAATTAGAGTTGAATCATTGCACCAATAATGCACGTTTGGCTTTTGTTGGTCACCCTCGTTTTCTTTTGCTGTTGATTGGGATTGCTTTTGCTG